GCTCTGTTCCAGAACCTACAAAAATCTACTACTTTTGCAATTTTTTCGATATCGTAATGGGAAAATCGGTTATTGTAGTAAATACTTTCACATTCTTGCAGTTCCGTAACATACCACTTATTTCTATATCTTTTGTAGAGTCCTCCTTTTATAACGTCTCAGTTCCTACCTTGTTTTTTATATTCTTTCTTCTACTGGTTTCCTTCAAATTTAACTCTTAATTACTCTATCCGCTAAACATGTTTTAATTGAAATAAAATTGCAACCTTCCTCCTCAGCAAAACTTCCAAGGATAATTACCATGTTGGTATGTACTCCTTATCGGATTCTAAAGGAATTTCCTCTTAAGATGTCTGTTGAAAGTCTACAAAGTTGCAAGAAAATAAGACTTTGGCAAATTAAGGAGTTTTACAAACTCTCACGCAGCCAATTTCTAATGTCTCTCTCATTGGGTTTTCTAAGTTTCTCACACACAACTCTCTAGGAATTACGAGAGGGGAGAAATGTACTCAGAGCGCAAGTTCTCTTTCTCAGTTTTGCATTTTAAAATCTGTTCGGCTGTTGGGTATCCTGAAAAAGTCGCTAGCTGGGTATTTCCGTTTTTTATTTTGGCCATTTTCTTCCTATTTTTGTTGTACAACTAAAAGGAAAAGGAACAGCGAAAACAGAAAAAAATAACAAAAGAAGAGACGAGATAACAAGAAGGAGGAAGAACAACAACACAAGAAAATAAGCCATGCAGCGAACACTGACACGCAAATATGTGTGTATTCAATACAAACAAAAGCAAGACAAGCCCCCAACTCCCCTCGCGCAAAAACAACAAAACATAAAAACCAATAACAGCAACAACAACAGCAACGACTATGTTTCTGACGCTGCAAGTTTGCTGACTTTCGCTGTTGTGTATTTACGAATTCTACTCTACACTAGGTGAGTGTTGGTGTGTAGCTCTTTGTAGCCCCTCTCCACCCTCTTTGGCACAACAAATGTCTGCTGTGTTCAGAAGTTATGGTCTTGTTTTCTTCCGTTTTAACAAGACATGACCAGACAAAATTGCTATGCAGCCCAAAGTTTGTTGCCACCAAAAACAAAATGAGTAACTTAAAGATGAAGAAAATATATCTCCTTACCTTTCGTCCATAAAAATTGATATCCTTTTTTCCGCTTCAATGGCTTATTTTGCAACAATGTAATCCAATGTAGAATTTTGTAATACTTCTTGTGCCGGCCAGTCCAGTCACTGATGGCACTGATGCTGATCGATTGATGGCCTCACTGGTGCGACGAAAGTTCTTCCTGTTGTTTCACTTCACTTTCAGACTCTTTTACTTTCACCTCTCTCACCACCACTTTTCATTCATTGCTCTTCTTCTTCTATTCGCTTTTCACTTGTTTGGTTGTTTTTCGTTTTCCTTTCTTTTTTTTTTACTTTTTGTTGTTTCTTGTTTTCCCAAGCACAGACACACACTTTAGATTCTTTTTTTGTTGCTATTGCTTTTTATGCTGGTTATTCTTGTTGTAATTCTACTTTGGTTCACTTCTACTACTGCTGTACAGCGCTCAGCTCAATTGCATTGCTCTCTGATAGTACATAAATTTTGGAATTGGAATTTTTTCCACTTATTGTTCACCAGATTAACACTGCTGCGATTCCGCAACATTTTTGTTGTACAAAAAACAATAAAACGCGACACAAAATTAACAAAAACTTTTAAATAAACAAATATCCAAAAAGTAATTTATGATTTGTTTTTGAATCGAACAATAAACTTCCTTTTTGAATTTAAGTGAAGCGACTGCTGCAACTTTTGCTGGTTGATTCTTTGATTGGGAAGAACAACTTAACAGACATAAAGACACGCCAATGACCCAAGAGACGCAACGCAATTTCAGCTCCAAACGGAACAACGTACGACAATAAACTGAGAACTCGGAAAACACTGCCAATCGTCGATTGCCGTCAGCCAGCCAAGAACGCCGCATTTCAGCATTTCATGTTGGGGTAGAGCACAAAAATTGCAATGTTTTTCTTTTGCATTACTACGACAACCAACAACGACGACGACGACAGTGTCCACAACAGCAACAACAATTGCTACGACGACGACGACCCCAGCCGACGAGCCAGCAAAACAAAAACAATGTGAATGTCGGCATTTTATTGTTTTGTTTTTGATTCTGTAGTTCTCTCCGGTCTCTCTGTTTTTGTTGGCGGAGAAGAGCAATTGAAATGCCCCCCACATTTTGCATTGCTCCAATACTCACATGTGAGTTGTGCTCTTTCTCACGTAGTTGAATGTGGGAGAGCTCCATTGTTTTGTTAGGGAAAGTGTTGCCAATCATCGAAACTCATAACGGAAACGTGAAATTTGAATGAAGCCACACGTTGATGAAGTAATTGATGCAATTAAATAATATTTTTTTTAGATTTAGAAAACAAATATAAAATAAATATAAATGGGAAAATATAAAGAAAAGAAAATAGATTTCACAGCCTGCTATAAAAATGAAATATAAAATAAATACTTTGACGAAAAACATGGTGCATAGGAACACCTTGGATGATTGGAAAACGGCTTTTCGATCCCTCCATAGGCAAAAAGACTAATTATGCAAAATTAAATGCAAAAAAGAAAATAATATCGGTCGTTTTTACCGACAGATTTATACCCCCAGCCTTGAGTTATGATTATTCAAACTGTTGACCTTTTATAGGGGAGGTTCCGTAGCAGTTGGCCAATTTGTATCTGATCTAACACTGATAAAAATATTACAACGTGCCATATTTGGACTATATCGACTACTTCCTATACTTTATATGAGATATGTGAAAATTTTTGGAAACTGTGTAAATATGCGCGAGGCAACAGATATAGCGGACCGAAGTATTCCATTTTCATACTTCATCTAATACAGATAAATATATTGGTATGTGCAAAATTTGAAGGAAATCGAAAATTTATATCCATTTTTTCATAAATTTCGATAAATTGCATATTCATATCAGATTTTTGGTTAAGAGAGATATATAGATATAGCAAGTTATGACAGATATAAGTATTGGAAATTGTGACCCTTTGTGGGTGAGGTAGAAGAGATCGCAGATGTGTATCATCTCACAATAGATTTTGCGTTAGCAAAAATATTTGAATGTGTGAAATTTGAAGAGATTTGGATGCTTATCTTGCTTTCTTTGACCGTTTTGTTTTTCAAAAAAATTTAATCCTATGTGGGGGAGTTACCAGAAGAAATGGTCCGATCTGTACCATCTTCATAACAGATCTTGTGTTGATGGAAATGTTGAGATGTACCAAGTCTGAATGGAATCGGGTGATAATTTCGTGTTTTATGAGCTTCATGGATATTCAAAATTGTGACCCTTTGTGGGGGAGGTACTAGAAGGAATGGACCGATATATTCCATATTCACACCAGACCTTGGATTAAAAGAATTTAGTGATGTGTACAGTTTGAAGAAAACTGGATGCATATTTCGGATTTTATGATCGTTTTGGCTATTCAAAACATTGACCTTTTGTAGGGGAGGTACCAGAAGAAATGGTCCGATCAGAACCATCTTCATAACAGATCTTGTGTCAGATGGAAATATTGAGATGTCCCAAGTCTGAATGGAATCGGATGTAAATTTCTGGTTTTATGAGCTTCATGAATATTCAATATTTTGGTCCTTTGTGGGGGAGGTACTAGGAGGAATTGTCCGATCTCTACCATCTTTATGAGAGATCTTGTGTGGATGGAAATATTGAGATGTGCTTAGTCTGAATGGAATCGGATGTTAACTTCGTGTTTTATGAGCTTCATAAATATTTAAAATTGTGGCCCTTTGTGTGGGAGGTATTAGAAGGATTATACCGATATGTTCCATCTTCACACCAATTCTTGGGCTAATGAAAATATTGTGATGCGTTTAATTTGAAGACAATCGGACACTTACGTCACATTTTATAAGAGTTATAATTATACAAAATTTTGACCCATTGTGGGGGAGGTACTGGATGAAGTGGACTGATATTGTCCATTTTTGTTCCTGGCCTAGTACTGATGCAAATATTAGGATTCGAAAAATTGGAGCAGAATCGGATTATCCTTTCTCTTTCTGTGCAGTAAATTATTTTCTTTGAAAATGTTGCCGTTTCGTGTGGGAGGTACCAGAAGGAGTGGACCGATATTGTCCATCTCCGAATTCGATCTTAGTTTGATAATAATATTCCGATGTACCAAGTTTGGATCAAATCGGATACTCCCTTCGAGAGTTATCGTGCGTACCAGTCAAACAGACAGACGGGCCGGCGGACATCGCTAGATCGACTCTAAATGTTCTGAAACGGATTTGGTCCAAAGAGACCTAGGGTCTAAAACCGTTACTTCGAAGAAGCACGTTCTGGCCATATCAAATGTGTATGCCATCTGTAGCCATATGTATGGCTGAGGGTATAAACAACGACCAAAAAACTTTGTTGAAATTTGCATCAAGGATCGTATTTTCAAACTTCTATGTTGCTAAACAGGCTAATCGACATCCTAAAGATAAATGCAAATCCTAATATTGTAAATTAGTTTAATTGCATAATTTTTATAAACCAAAAACTAACTCACCTCAAATTTGCACAACAAATAGGGTGCACAAGGTATGAAAATGACTCCTTAGCGTTGCCATCTTTGCAAATTATTTCTTCTCAATTATTTATGAATTGAAGGAATTATTTCTCAAAATTTGCCCAACAAATAGGGTGCACAAGGTATGAAAATAACTCATTCGCGTTGCCATCTTTGTAAATTATTTCTTCTCAATTATTTATGAATTGAAGGAATTATCTCTCGAGAGAAAGGCTTTTGATGGGAATAGAATTCCGCTGGGATATTATTATTAAAATTATTATTAAATTGATATGAATTGATATAAATTTAATTTAAAAAAATATTACCAAAGAAAAAACATTTGTTTAAATTTTTTTACACACATTTAATGCATGTCGCCTTTTTCTGCTTAACAATGATTTTATTCATTATAGGTATTAAAAATATAATATTTGTACAATTTAAAAATTAAAAAAAAATAAATTATATTTATTTAGTTTGGAATATGGTTTGGACGTTCCTATGTTTACAAAAAAAAAAAAAAGAAATACTGTCTTATTACAACAATAATTAACATATTTTGATTTGTGCATTGTTACCATTTAGAACACAAAGGTGGACTGAATCTCCTTGGTTCTTCCTAGATATATATCGTCTTAATCTATATAGAACATATTTTTTTACAAGAGTATGGTCTTAAAAACAATAAACAAAAATAAAACAATATTTTATATACAAATGTCTACTTATAACAAAATGTGATAAAAAAAAAAATCAAACAAATAAACTTAAAACTATGTCCAGACAGATGTGGGTATGAGACCCTCTTTGCTGGTTCCAGGCGGTGTCAAGACCTCTTTGTTTAGGAAATCCAAAGGTAAGTCCACCAAGGTTCCCTAAAAAAGAAAATGAAATGTTAATTTAAGTTTAACATTTTTTTAAGCTTTTCATACCTGAATATTCAATAGTCTCTTGGCCGCCACATCCGGATCTGTTTTACACAAGGGCGGACTTTCTTCCTGATATTTCCTTAGACTGGCAAAGGTTTTGATATTATCATTTGGAACACATTTGAAAACTTCATCGTAAATGTCGGTGTTGCGTTTTGAGATACGCCTCCACATGCCATTCCAAAATTGATCTATCACTGGATCTGTGACATCAATGCGCATGCGTTCAGCATCAGGATCCAAGAGACCTTCAAAATAAAAGGCAACCATTAAAATCCATTTCTTATCATTAATTCCCTTTTGCACCTACCCAAATGCTCTTTAAACAAATACTTCCTTAGACGTCCTGCAAACACCCCACTCGGATATTTGTTGCCATTCATCCGACCATCCTCGAATTCATTGTCCGTGATAATGGCCGCAATCTCCGAATCGCGTTTGCCAATCATCGACCGATCATTGATATTGGCCGAGCCACAAATGACCACCCGATCATCGGCAATTAATAGCTTGGAATGTACATATATCAGTTCGGTAATGGGTGTGTTGTTCAATTCGGAGAGAGTGCGCAGGGAGTGGAATGATATATACTCTCCAGGGTTTTTAATTCCGATTTCCTTGAGACGTACCAAAATGGCGGATTTTCCTCTGCGGGATGGAGGAAGAGGAGTATTAGCTAATTAAAAATCTCTTAAACGGAGAAAGTCATACCTTGATATTGAGGCATAATTCCAGTGGGTAATGGCCCTCACAGCATTGCCACTGCTGCCACCCACATCACCTTCAAAGCCTGGCAGCAAAGGCATGACAACATAAACTCGGAATACTTTGCGTTCCCTGAAATGAATAAAATTAAATTAAAAACAAAAAAAACAATCAAGGATATTCTATCCATAGATGACCTCTAGAAAACCTTTGATCCATGAAAGCCTAAAAATGCCTTTTCTTCGTAGAGAGCCGTCTGGAAAATATCCCACCTCAGAAGATATTCTAACCAAGGTAAAGATCTTCAAAGTATTCTAATAAAAGTAGAGCGCTTGCAGAGATTTTAAATATAAAGATTTTTGAATCCAAAGAAGCCCTCTGACCTGAAGCCCTCTGACCCTCTAGAATAAATTATATTTGTAGAGGAACGGTTATATGTAATATATACCAGGACCAGACAAATGGAGCCCCGCGTGAATTCGCTGAGCGTAAATCTCTCAAAATCAGATCGGGTTTCAAGGAGTCTGATTATAAGTGTGGAGAAATTTAAGCTCTTGAAATCCCGACAGGCTGCATTTACTTGGCCCTGAGCGTAATTCTCTCCACACTCACAATCAGAACCTTTGAAAAACAGAGCAAAAAGAGACTAAAAAATTGGGAGAACATAAAAATAAGACTTTCTGCCCGGTACTGATGTATTCCTACATTACCTCTAGAGCAGGAGCAGACAGAGAGACACACTTTTATGTTCTCTCAATTTTTTTACTCTCCGATTACACTATTTTTTTAATTATTCTGTTTGTAAGTCCGGAGAGAATTGTGCTCATTTGAGGCACGAGTGCCCGCCTTTGCCAGATCTTGCTCAAAAGGGTTCTATAATCTTTGCAGAGCTTTTTAATGGACGTCTATCCCTAAAATATCTCCCTTGTCTACAGAAAATCTTCAGAAGGTCTCCTATTTTTAAACAAGACCTCTTAAAAATCTTCTCTAGAAATTCTTCAATATATTCCAATATGGGACCCTTAACCCAATCTCATTTGGATCTCCCTATTTCTCATTCGTTTCCTCTCCACCCAACTTCCTCCACATACTTGTGTGCCTCTAAAAGGTCTTCTCTAGAACCTCTTTAATTTATTCGAATCTGGGACCCTATAACCCAATTTCATCTGGATCTTCCCATTTTTCATCCATTTCCCCCTCTTCCCCTCACTTACTTGTGTGCTCTAACAATGCGCTTGAACAACGCCTCACCAATCTGGTTCCGTACATTACTCAGCGTCCCAGTGGCGCCCAATTGCATGGTGATAAAGAACTGATTCTCAATATAGATATAATGCTGGGCCTTCGTTATCGTCTGGATATAGGCATCATGTATGCTCTGTTCCACCAAATCCTGTTCAATGAAACCACAACTCCACGACGAGACACTTCGGAGCAGCTGACACGAAACGCGATGTGAACGTTTGAGGTTAATGTTTGGATTCAATTTGATTTGTTTATAACTCTTTGGCATTAGGTAGGGAAATGAAAGAGAATCACGGGTCTTTTCCAATTTCATGGTATTCCAACGTTGTATAAAATGGCGGGCAACATCCCGCGCCGGTGCTCCTACCACGCAGATGCCCACATCATGCCAAGGCATGCGAGGCGTGGTGGTACGATCGATCATATCGGCAAAGGGGGCATCCAAATTCATCCAGTCTTTGAGTATAAAATTTGAATAGTCTTTGCCAAACCAATATTTGGCCTGGCCATAGAAATCCTGCAGAACCTCGGTCTGGAAGGGTGTGGGGTCCTCCAGACCTCCCTTGCGGCCTTCTTCCAGCTCCTGTATGCTAAACACCAATTGTTTGGGATCTTTGATGATATCCGGCGTTTTGTCCCCCTCATTCATGGTCAGACGATTGACGAAATCCTTGCCCTTTTTCATGGCATTGTCCTTGAGATTTTGAAGCATATTTTTCCGCTCCAATTCGGGGGTGTTAAGTTTCATGCCCTCATGGGGTAGCGTTTCATCCAAGGTTACCGGGACCAAGCCCATATTGGGTATCATTAGCTTGTCCCCTGGCAGTAGTGAAGGCAGGTCCAGCCTCTCTTCACTGGCTTCCCGACTCAATTCATCCTGTTCCGATTTGTGAAGATCGCTGTTGATATTGCGTGAAGATTTCTGGCTACCAAAGGCTGAATCTACTTCTTCGCGATTGAAAAATCCACCCTGGCGTCGTGTGCTACCCGAGGCAGAGGATGTGGAAATGCTACCCAAATCGGTGAGGCGATGGCGATAATCATCCCAACGGCCATAGCAGAGATCAATGCCGCCCAAAAAGGCATAGGTTTGGTCGACCACCACGATTTTTTCATGGTGGGCCCAGAAGAAGACCCCCGCCCTGGCATGGTCCGGGTGGCGCATGACCTGGAACAGAAAGGACGAAAATTTAAATATTCTTTACTTGATCTGATTTGTGTGTCCTTACCTTAACATTTTCATGTAAACTAACCAGTCTCTGCTTGCTGTAGTAGCTGTTGATGCCCAGGGCCATTTCCACTTCCTTGTAGAGCATCACGAACACCTTGACACCCTCCTGGGCCTTTCTCAGCAGAATCTTATCCAAACGCCAATAATCTCCATTGATGACTGGCCTCTTCATATAAATCTCCGGACTTAGCCACCAATCGGCAATGTATATCTCCTCGGTAGCTGCCTCCAAGGCATCCGCCACCATGGCCATGTAAGAGGAACCATCAACAAACCATTGAGCCTCTATGTCAGCCCTTTCCGGAGCATAGGAATTATGGGGATTGGGCGCCGTAAAATCACGGGCCGTCGAATTGGCCGTCTGCTTTAGATAATCATTCCACTCTTTACATTTTCTTCTCGTCCAACATTTCAAGATAATGTGGCGATTATTGGTCAATATCTGCAGACCCTTGCGCATGCCGGTCTGATAAATGCCCGTAGAGACATCAAAACCCATATCAAATAATATCACAGCTCGAATTACGCCATCTGAGGGTCGAACATAACCGAAACAAGTTTCCTTGACGAAAAACCAACGGTTGCGCCACTTGCCACAGACCACGTCGGAACAGAAGTAGTTGCAGCGCACGCAGCATTTCTGCTGGAAGCAACCAAAGAAATTACAACCAGCCTGGCCGGGTCTGGTGGAGCCAGTGCGTTTCAAAATGGGACCCTCCTTGCCCTTAATGCCCAGGCCATCCACAAAGGAGACATTGGAGACCTCAACGAAATTTAGCTGGAAAAAGGGAAGATAGATAAAAAGGATTCAGGAGCAAGTTACTCTAACACCTACCGTTTCATGATGATTCCTGTAGAGACTAATGTTCAGTAGATTATACAAATACTCCTCCAATTGTCGCACCCTCACCGGCATTGACTCCACCGTCACCAATGATTCCGGCCGCTGAGGGAATCTTGGCAATTTACGTTTTTTCCTTTTCTTTCGCGTGCTGCCCCTACCCACATCTTCCACAATGGAAATATTTCTATTGTAAATCGGGGTCATGGGCAGGGATTGTGGCTGGGTGGTTATTTTCGCCTCATATTCGGCACGAGCCTTATTGGCGTTATGCTTGAAACTGGAAGATTTTTGCAGTTCCTTTAGCCGACATTCATCGGCCATTTGGATGGCAGCATTTTTTATTGTGGCCCGCTTCTCCTTATGGCTACGCATTGGGAAGGGTATGTTTAGGGAGGTGCGGAACAGGCTGAGCTGTTGATGTAAAGTACTAAAGTGTTTGTAGCGTTTCTTAATGGTCCAGGAAAAGGGGCCATGGGTGAGTTCTATGGTGTATCTGCAAAGGGAAAATTACGAATTTATTCGAAACAATAGATCCTTATGTGCTTTACTCACAAATTTGGATTAAGCAGATGCGTTGTCACGCTACGTTCGATGTCTATAATTTGTACCGTTATCTCGGTGCCCGGCATAAAGACCTTCCTTTGAAACGAGGTAAACTTAATGCCCGGCGAATAGATGCGGGTAAATGGTATTTCTTGGAGTTTACGCAATTCCACCTGATCCTCATCGTAGTCATCGTCATCGGTACAATCTTTGCGTTCCACCAGTACCGGCTTGTCACCACCCGCCGATATTATCGTCACCGAATCGGGTATATTCAGAGCCTCATCGAATTCCGATTCAACCATGGAAAATTGAAACTCGGGTATACATCGTATATCGCGATCCTCACAAATCTCACCACCGATATACTCGTCCACTACACTCTCCTCGTAGGCATTGCTCTGCGTATCGGCCATACTGTAATCGGCATTGGCATCAAACTGGCCGTAGAGGTAGTTGTGATCTAGTTCGTCGTAATGATAGGCATTGTTAATGTAGCCGCCACTTAGTCGATCAGTGTTGGTCTGCTGGTTGTCTAGAGAGGAAAGAGAGAGGGCGAGAGAGAGAGAGAATAGGTTATTACTACAGTCATAGATCAAATTCAAAGCAGCAAACAAATTAAATTGTTCATGTAATTCTTGTTAATTTGTTAATAATGGAGTGGAATATTTTTTTGAAGTTTGTTGTTTTGTTTCGTGAACACTGTTTCCCATTTTTAGTTATTTTTCGTAATTTCATACATTTTTTGATAATTTCCTGAGCCGTTACTTTATTTTGATAATTTTCCCATAGAACTCTCCACAATCTCCCATAGTTTTCCATGCTTATTATGCTATTTTTGTTGTTTAATTTTCTTCACATATTTCTTTCTTTATGTCTGAGACTGATGTCTTAAATTTATAGTTCTCATTATGCTGCCATTAATCATTTCCTCTCACTCACTCGTAATTATAACAACTGTTCACTTTCTTCCATTCTCTTTTGCGTGTGTGTATGCTTTTACGAATGAACAGGTTGAAATTCCGTTCCGAACATTGTAAAATAACCTAGATTATAATTCCCGCAACTTCCATATATAGATGAGGACCCATAAATACGAGTGTGTAGGAGATTATTCAGTCTGTTCAGTAAAAATAGAGTGTGAACTATGTAAAGTGGAGACTAGGAAGAAAGAACCAACATTTTATTTTCTTTTGGAGCAAGGTATAGATGAGTACCTATAAATACGAGTGTGTAGGGGCCAGTCAGTCAGTTCAGTATAAGTAGAGTGTGAACTATGTAAAGTGAAGTCCAATGAGAAAGACCCGAAATATATTTTCTTTTGGTGCAAGATATAGATGAGGACCTAGTTCAGTTCTAAATAAGCTGAATGTGAACTATATAAGCGAAGTCTTTCTTTTCGAGCAAGATAAGGTTAAGCCCGAAATGCGTAGAAATATTTTTATGGGGCATCAAAACAACTGCCTTAAGCCAAGAATTTGCCAACAAGTAAAAAAGCAGTAAGTTCGGCCGGGCCGAACTTTGAATACCCTCATTTGGAACTAATTTGGGAATTTTCAAAAAAAAGTCCGTTAAAAATTCTTTAAAAATCTTAAAAATACCGTATTGGCTCCATACGAAGACGTGGACCTGCATGGGCAACTTTTGTCATAAGCCATTACAGTATCCAAATACGAAACTTATAAAAAATCCGGTGAATAAAGTAGCTAAAATCATCAAAATACCGAATATAGGGAGGTACCGTTATATTGGGGCTATACGAAGATCTGGACCTGCAAAGACAATTTTCTGTCACATGCTGTAGTACCTACTAAAACCTTCAGATACGAAATTTCAAACAATTTCGTGAATATTGTACCTAAAATCGTCAAAATACCGAATATTGAGAAGTACTGATATATTGGGTCTATACGAAGACCTGGACCTGCCTAGACAATTTTCTGTCATAGACTGTAGTTCTCATTACAAACTCTAAAAACAAAATTTGAAACAGCTCCGGTGAATAATGTCCCTAAAATCTTCAAAATTCCGAATATTGGGAGGTACCCTGATATGGAGGCTATACGAAGACGTGGGCCTACATACGCAATTTTTTGTCATAATCTATAGTACCCATTATGAATTCCTAATACGAAATTAAAATGAATAATAATGTCCCTAATGATCTCAAAATATCGAATATCGGGGGGTAGTGTTGTGTGTGGACTATACGATATCGTGGACCCATATAAAGACATTTCTCTTCCAGGGGGTAAAGTGATTAGAAAGAACTTCTAGTATGGATTTTTAGACAATTGCATTAAAAAATGTAGCTAAAATCATCCAAATACCAAATATAGGGAGGTACCGTTATATGGGAGATGTATGGGATATCGTGGACGTATATAAACAATACTCTTCTAGAAGGAACTCCTTTTGTGGATTTTCATACAATTTAATTGAAAAATTTGGCCACAATCATCAAAATACCGAATAAATGGGGGGTACTGTTATATAAGGCCTATACGATATCGTGGTTTGATATAACCCATTATTGAACTTTACCTGCCTGCAAACAAAAAACTGATCTGTGCAAAATTTTAGCTTCCTACCTTTATTCGTTTTGACTCTAGCCTAATTAAAACATACAGGACGGAAGGGAGGACAGGGCTAAATCATCTTAGAATTATTACGCTGACCAAGAATATATATACTTTGTTTTGTCTAAAAATAATTATTTCAATAAGTTACAAACGGATGGCAATCTTAATATACCCTCCATACTTTGGAGGGTATAAAAATGGTGCCCTGGGCACTTGATGCGAGCACACATACAATATCATTTGATTTCAAAAAATCTCATGCTGGAAACAGTGTAACAGTTATTCAATTTCAAAATTGCAAATTAAATTGATTACACATAGAAGCCGTGAATAAAACATTGCACCGCTCATTGTTTTTTCCAACAAATCAATTTCAATTTCATCACTTACAGGCCAACCAGCCAGCCATCCAGCCAGCCAACCCAGGTTTATTTTGCCCAATTAAATATCAATAACAATTGAGTGATTCTTTTTAAGTAGAAAATAATGGTCTAATTTAATTGCCTTGAGATGGGCAACAAGTTCATAACCCATATAAATTGATGGTTGCATAACAAAAGATTGTGGTGTTGTTGTTTGTTGTTGTTTTTTTTAGTACAACACAGTTCCATAACAGAATAATCACAAAAAACAAACATGTAGATGCACTTGAACTTGTTGGCTGTTAGTTTACTCTCAGTTCTCTCAGAGGTGAGTACAGAATTGCCAACATCATACACTTTTGAGAGATAATAATTCTTTGGTGGGCCTCTGTTAGTAGACATCTCTCCTCAACTACAACCACAACTAAGGCCCGTTTTAAATACGTCTAAGTATTTATTTAAATTGGGGTTATTGTTTTATGGCAATTTAACTTGAAATTAAATCTTTGTATTTAGATTTATTTGCTTTTGTGTGTGTGTTTGCCACCAAGTTAATGAACTAATGTTTTTGTTAGTTCGTGGCTTCTCATTTCATTCTTCAGTTTTTCTTCTTCTCAGTGAGTGTTGATACGTCTTGGCACATGATCTAAGGTTGTGTGTAACCATGTTCAAATAAAAGATTTTTGCCATATGTTTAAGAAATAATATTTAAATACAGAAAATATGACATACATGCACTCCTCACACACACACAACACACAGATACTCGTTCGAGGGACCCCAGAAGAGGGCATAAACCTTAAACTACATTTATGAGTTTGTGGGTCAAGCCATTACACAGACGGAACTCGCAAAAAAAAACAAAATATAAAACATAAGCCTATCAGCCAGCGCCAGTGGTAAGAAAAAAAACAAATAAATTACGCCAAAAAAAATAAAATGAATGAAAAGCAAAGCTAACGTCCATACAAGGTAGACGAGTAAATAAAATCCAAGTCATTGGTATTAAATATTTGGGTCCATTTCAAATTGATTTTCGTCTAGTTTAACAAAAAGGAAGTAAATATTTATTTGCTTTGATAATAATTAATAATTAGAAATAAATACAATAAATAATAATAAGAATATACCACGTGTTGAGACGAGATCTTGGTATAATTAAGAAGGTAAAGTCATAAAATCATATGTTTATATTTTTTCAAAATTATTCATTTGACAGCATCTCATAGTCAAAATTTGTATTTATAAATCTATTGTATACACAGAAATCAGAGATGGGAACCTGTTTTCTATGCAGTGAAATTTGACAAGGTAAATTGCAGAAAATGCAGAGATGGGTATGCTTATTTGAAATGACCTTAACTTCCTAATTTTACCATGAAAGAGGCCTTTGGGAGCGCATTATTGCAGAGTCCCACTCAAATCAATCTTTCAAATAAAATCAGAGGGAAACATTGCAAAATCTAGAATTTTACAATATTTCAGATAAATTACGCGTCTTAAGTACAAAAATTTGGCTTTGGACACACTATAGTTTGAAATATTTGAAAGTCTCTTAACAACTTTTTTTTCATTTTTTCCTTTTAACATTTTTTTAGAAATTTGGAAATATTGTTTAATCAGATTAATCTTTTGTGATTTTTCTCAGAGATAATTTGACGATTTTCCAGCTAACGAGTATCCAATCCATAGTCAAAAATACAAGCAGTTAGTACAATTGTAGTTTATGGTTTTCTGGTTGGCTTCGAGTGTTTCGTTTCAGGTTCAGATCGCCTTTTAGAAAAATATGAAAGGTAATTTTGAGAAATTGTTTTCCAAATTTAAAAAAAATATGAAAGGTAATTTTTCTAAAAGGCGATCTGAACCTGAAACGAAACACTCGAAGCCAACCAGAAAACCATAAACTACAATTGTACTAACTGCTTGTATTTTTGACTATGGATTGGATACTCGTTAGCTGGAAAAGGATAGTGATGTGGCCCTAACCTTCTGTCTACCTTCGGGGAGCATAGCTGATTGCGTACGGATATACAGGGTAGCTGCGAATTGAATAAAGAGTCAGCTGGCCTCGGCTTAAGTCTCGGCTTAAATACCCTAGTGCCAATGATCCTTAGACTAACAAGGCAAGGTATCGGCGCTTCTAAAATAGCCAAACATTTGTGCTGGCCCCCACATAAAGCGGATCCCCTAACCGATATGTTATAAGATAACGAGTCCATCATTGTTACCAATTTGCAGTCAGGCTACCGATTGTATTCTAACGGAGCTTCTTTGATATCTGGGCACCTCAACGAATATTAGGTTTTGTTACCAAGTCCATGCTCCCTTCACAGGACAATGTATATTCTCCCATTTTTATTGTTGTATTTTCTTTCCCATACTACTTTCTCTAGGTATTAGGAATAGCTGTATAGTTCTCATTATGACATCTTTAATATTTCCTCTCACCCACTCGCATTTATAATTACGAACCATGTTGTTTACATACATCTGGTTGTTAGTGCAAGTGTGGTTTGACGAATGAATGTGGTTGTCATTCCTTTGGAATAATGCAGAATAACCAGGATTTTGATACCCGAAACTTCTATGCA